CAATCTTTTGGTTAGCAGCCAAGCACTTAACCGCTGTGCCACCAGGGCTCTTTGTCAAAAGAATGGTAGAGGCAGAACAAGAGTTTAGGGGAAAGGGCGTGATCCTTAGAGGTTGAAGTGTCACTGAAAACTTCCCAGAAGAAATAACTTTAAGTTAAGTGGAAAGTGAAGAGTCAAGAAAAAGATGGGAAATTCAGATAAGGAGAAGGCATGGAGGTGGCCAGTGAGATCACAAGTGTTCTTCCTCCCTTTAAAAGCCAATCCCTCAATTTGGAATTCTCTCTCCTTCCTTTTCAGAATCATAAATCAAGGCTCTCTCATCTTAAAGAAGGAAAAAAAGACTCTGTTTCTCCATTCTAGCTACCATATTTAGAACCACAGTACAGCCAAAGTGTTCTTCTATACATGCAATTCCCTAGGCAGTACAAATGGTTAAGCACTTACCAACCAGCTGAAAGGCTGTTGGTTCAAATCCACCCAGAGGTGCCTAAGAAGACAGGCTTGGTGATTTGCTTCCAAAAGGTCATAGCCTTGAAAACTCTATGGAGTAGTTTTACTCAGACATGCATTGGTCGCCGTGAGTCAGAACAGAATCCTTGGTAACCGAAAACAAACTCTATTTATATATTAATAATGAACAGCCTTTTAGGCCTCACAAAGTTATTTGCATATTGTTTTAGAAAGTAGTTAATCCAAATATATTTCCAACTAGATGGATCCCAGGTATGAGTGGTCATACTCTTAAAATGTTTTTGCTTTTCATTATTTTCTCCCAGAATTTACTTCAAAATCCCTAAAATCCTAATTTTCACAAAGTTGGCAGCAATAATTGGGGCAGGGACAAGGACAGAGATAAGGAATATGGCAGTCACTGTCTACTAATCAGATGATGGATTGCACTGGGCAAATCTACTGCAAAAAACCTCTTTAGAGTGCTGAAGAGCAAAGATGTCTTTTTGAAGACTAAGGTCTTCCAAGACCTTAGCCATGGTGCTTTCAATCACCTCATATACATGTGAAAGCTAGACAATGAATAAGGAAGATTGAAAAAGAGTTGATCTTTTGAGTTGTCCTGGCAAAGAATACTGCAAGTACTATGAACTGCCAGATGAACAAACAGATCTGTTCGGGAACAAGTGCAGCCAGAATGCTCTTCAGAAGTGAGAATTGCCACACTTCGTCTCACCTACTTTGGTCATGTTGTCAGAAGGGACCATTCCCTGAAGAAGGATATCATGCTTGCTAAAGTGGAGGGTTTGCATAAAAAAGGAAGGCCCTCAATGAGATGGATTGACACAGTGGCTGCCATGATGGGCTCAGGTATAACAAGGACTGTGAGGCTAGTGCAGGACCAGGCAGTGTTTCGTTCTGTTGTACATAGACAGGGTCACTCTAAGTTGGAGCCAACTGGACAGTACCCAACAAGAACAACTACTATTTCAAGTTAGGAGCTCTACATAAAATGTTCAATTTGTTCCCCAGAGAGATAATTGACCCAAAGCAAAATTCTAGAATTTTGGGAAAATATACTCAAGAAAAAATTCTAGAGCTTCCAATTCAAGATGGTTCTCTAAGAGGTCAACATCCACATGGGAGAGCATTTTTCACTGTCTTTTTCAGATACAGGTAAGGACGGTGGAAAGAGCAGAAAAAAATCCAAGAGACTTACTGAAGTACCATCTGAGGAAAGGCTGCTTGGGTGACCCTCCCTCCGGGAGAGTGAAGCAGCAGCACTTGCCTCAGACTGAGCAATCTGCCAGGAAAGGGCTTCTCTGGGAGAGGGAGGGGGAGGGGGAGGGGGAGAGGGGTTCTCACAGCAAGCCATCAATTTTGGCATTTGTAACAAGCTCAGTTCACCTGGCCATTCTGTCAAAGTCCTAAAGTGAAGCCTGCTAGCTGTTACATACTGCACCTAAATCATATAGTTTGCTAAATCAGACCTTTCATTCAGGGGTAGCCCACACAATGCATCTACGTCAATCGCTATTCCTTCACGTTTAAATACCATTACATAACCAGACTCTTGTAGAAATCCAGTAGTTCTTAAGATGAAGACCAAGACAAACAACAAAATTATTATCCTGGAAAAAGCAGAGATATGAAATCCTAATTTGTATTCTCAAGAGAATTGCTGAACATATCATAGACATAAAATAAAAGCAGGCTGTTATTAAAAAAGTATAAAACAATACAAGTTTACAGAATTAAACATATTGTTAGGAGTTTAATAAATGTTGGAAAAAAAACCCCACAAAAACCCATGGGTGTTCAGGAGACAATGATAAAAAGAAATCAACAGAAAAGCCAGAAAATGAATTAAGGAAATTCCCCAGAACTCAGAACACAAAGAAGAGGTTGAAAACATGAAAGGAAAGTGAAGTGACATAGAGAAGTGGTATCTCTGGTGAGATGCACAAAAAGACCCACTGTGGTTTAGGAAGAAAATCCAGAAGCTTTTAGAATACGGCTATTTTGTATTTCATTCTTTATGATCACATTAGGGTAGATTTACAATGTAAATAATTTATTAGTACAGAAATGCATGTATGCAATTTAAAAACAAGTAAACTTGCATGCATATACTTGGGTTCATGCATATATTTTTTTAAACAAATGATGAGTACTCATCACAATGTGTAAATCACAGATATACAGGGTCAGTTTAATAGAATCAATATTCATCTAATAGGTGTCCAGAAAAAGAATATGAAAAATGAAAGAAAATAATCAGAAAAAAAATCTCTCAAGAACTGAAGATGGGAATCTTTAATGGAAGGGCCCATTAAGTTCTTTAGCCAGATGAGAGTAGAAAAAAAGACCCATACCTCAACAAAGCCTTGAAAATGTCAGGATAAAGGATAAAGCAAAAAGATCCTAAAAGTTTTCATGAAAGGAAAAAAAGGAAACCAACAGACACAAAAATCAGATTTGGCCTGAGAGTTCTCATCAGCAACAATGGATGCTAGAAGAAAACGTAGTCCTGCCTTCATAGTTCTGAAAGAAAGGGATTTTGAATACAGATTTCTACATCCAGTTAAACTAAAGATCAAATGTGATGCAAAAAAGGGATTTTATTTTTTCAGAAATTATCTACTCTCATCCACTATCTCTCTTAACCTATAAACTCGTTCCTAAGATATACAGCTACTCCTCACTTACCTATCCCATTATATGACATTTTGAATTTACAATAATAAAAAACATACTATCCAAGAATTTTGCCCATTAATGACATATGTGTGGCAGTAACAAATGTCGAGGTGCTAGGCCAGAGTATGGCAGGCTGAGATGGTTTAAGGTCATGTGTCAATTTGGCTGGGCCATGATACTCAGTGGTTAAGCAGTTATGTAATAATGTGGTCATCCTCCATTTTTTCATGATGTCGATTTTCACCTAAAAACCTGGTTTCTGGAAACTAATCATGTCTATAAGCAAGGAGTGGGTGTGGTTATTTTTTAACAATATTATTCAAATATTGCATCATGTCCTTGTTTGTCTCCTCTCATATCTATGAGTACATATTCAGATATGGATGTCAAAAACGTTTCTGTTCTCATCTGTTCAAGGATAAGAATTTAAATGTATTCCATTACAACATGCCAAGGAACTACAGCAAAAGACAGATTCCAAAGCCTGGGGCTTCTGACCTTCCATATCACTACTTCTACAGGTAGCTAAACATGCAGTAGATCAGCATGAGACACTTTTAAGTTACGGCTTCTATTCAAACTCCATAGTAACTATAAAAATAATTTAGTCCAACCACATCTAATCATATAAACAAACAATATCAATTAAAATGTTTGTTTTTTCACTCAGTTTTTGAAGTTTTTCCTATATATTTAATTGTTCCAACAATGTATTCTCTGTAAATCCTTTTCTCTTTTTATTTGGAGAAAATGAGGCATATTTCCATAAATATTGAGGAGTAGAAATATAAGAAGATGTAAACAACTTATTTCATTATCAAGAGTTATGGATTTTTTTCAGAAATTAAAATTCCATCCAATAAAAATAACTATAAAATTATTTGACTAAAACTGTATTTATCGTATGTCATCAGCTCTGAATAAATTAGACCATCTTAAAAGTTCTGAGAAAAAGAAAATCAAAGCAAGTGTTAAGACATTAAACCAGGAAAACCAAATTTTTTCGACTTTGCTTGATTTGTATTAATTACTATAAAACGCCTGCAACAATGAGTTAAACCTGAAACTATCTTAGGATATGGGAACACAATTAGTGTAAAGATAAGGTGAAACTAAATCCTGTTAAAATGCATATAACTCTTAGAAATTTCTATTATTTTTCTATTTATAATTAAACCAGGCCAAGGCAACACTGACAGTGAAATTGAAAAGGTGGTGTCACAGTCAGCACTCTGCTACCAAAACAAAGTGTCCCTAAACACTGAAAAGAGATGCTACTAAGAAGATCTCTCTAATTACCACCTATGACCCCCTGTGCGTCACTGTTCCAGATCTGCCTCCAGATCACCTTCACTCGGAGGATTAGGGAAAGAAGACAAAGAAGAGCCGGGTTACCTGCAGAAACAGCATGCAAAAGAGGAGAGGCAGAAGAAACTAACACAAAAAAATAAAGAGACAGTTAGAGAGGCGGAGAGAGTGACACATGGATAGTATCAGAGACCCAGGAGTGAGAAGGCAGGACACAAGAAGCAACGAGACAGAGATAACAGCGAAGGCAGAAGGGTGAAAGGGCAGCGATAAAAGGCCAAACAGGGACGGACCAAGACTACGAGGGGCCCAGAACCTTCGAGTGAGATAGGGGCAGGGAAAGGACCGGTACCGAAGCCGGCACCGCAGGTACGCTAAATCAGGGCTCCTGCCACTCCGAATACTCAGATATACCCTGGCATCCTCGAAATGCCCTCACCCCCGCCTAAGAATCAATTGCACACTCTAGAAGTAACGATGGAGGCAACCCCGCTTTCTGGTGTTCCCACAAGTAACGGGGCCAGGTTGGGGCCCACACTCACCAGGCCACGGTGGCCCGGCGTAGTCGCCACATCCCACCAGCGGGAAGGTCACACAGGCGCCGGGGCGGCCAGGCGGGAGCCCTGTTGTCAGCTCCAGTCCCGCTCCTGCACCAGGAATGACCCAGAGTAGGCAGGCGCTCGGCAACAAGGGCACAGAGCACCGGCCGTGGCCCTCCCAATGGCGTACCGACTTCCGCGAAAGCCCAACCGGCACCCGTACACAGTCCGTCACGGAAATAGCCACCCTACGCTTCTTAAGCAAGCAGCACAAATGGCCCGAAGAGGACTTAGCGCATGCGTCCACAGTCTCTTGGTGGAGTGGTGTATGCTCACTCTTTACCTCGCTGCCCGGCTTCCTTTGGTTTCGCGTAGGAGTTTTGCACTCTGGCTTCCCAGGTTAAAGACTTGAAGGGAAAGCTTGGGGGTGGACTGCTGAAATAAGTGACATGAAAATCCTGATAGCTAAATTCTTACTTGGTGCGACCACTTTAATAAAATTCTTATTAAAGGTACTGAGGGAGCTTGAAGAGACTAGAGAGTACATGGTTATGATTGCAGTAATGAACAATTGCGCCCTTGACTCACTCTTTTGTTTAGAGTTTTTGTTTACAAAACACTTTCATATCCGAGCAATGTTAGGAGGCAAGAGGAGGAATCCTGAACAGGGTCAGTGCTTTAGAATCTCTGGATGTCAGATCTGAAAGGGGCTCAGATCAATTAGGTCAGATACGGGGGTGGAAGCTCTGGTAGCATAGTGCCTAAGGCACTTGACTTCTAACTAGAAGGCTGGCTGTTCATACCCACCAGCCACTCCTCTGAAGAAAGGTTGGGCAATCTATTTCCGTAGTGATACCGCCTGGGAACCCCAAGAGGGGGTCACTGTGAGTCGGTCCAACTCCACGGCACATAACAACATGGAGGTGGAATAAGCCTGTGTAGTTTTAAAAGGCATCAAAAGTAATTTTGATTATTCACTCTTAATCCAAGTTTCTTAATCTCACTAATTCGTTGAAATGGCTCGTGTCATGGTCTCCAAAAATTCCATGTTATCTGGCTGCAGTGATGACGACCTCTCGGAGGCATTCAGCTCAAATGTTCACCCCTTTTTCACGGGCTTCCCTCGCTGGACATATGTTGTTGTTGTTGTTAGGTGCTGTCGCTTGACATTTAGACATTCCATTGTCCTTATTTCATTCAGGAAGTGCTCCTCCTCCACTACCAGACCTATCAATATTGGAGGTTCAAGATCTTGGTCCTGGGCTCCTTCCATTTTGTTTCCATTCTGTCCCTGGGCAGTCTCAGCCAGTTCCATCACTTTAAATATCCTTTCTTGCCATCTTTCCAACTCTATTGTTTTTTGTTGTGTGAGGAACAAAGACCTATAAAAGGAATAAGGCCAGTGAAAATCAGGAAGCCAATTAATGGCAGAGAGGGGATCAAAATCAAAGGGTTCTCTGCCATCTCTTCAAGCCCTCCCTCCCCCTCCCCCCACTAAACATGAGGAAAATTACTTTTCCATGAATTATCAGAATCAAAAATCTGGATCCATTCACTCATAACACCAAGTGTAGACCCAGCCATTGATAGTAGGCTTTCCAGACACAGGACTCTCAAAATTTTATTTATTATATTTATCATGGTAACTGCTTAATGGCAGATCCAGAGAAGAATTTGCTATACTGGCCTGTGCAAACTGTAGATTTTTCAGGATTGTAGGACTGTGCAAAAATTTATTTGTTACTGTTATTTCCTAATTGTTTTAGAAACAGAAAAACAAAAACTCTTGTCATATATGGGTTATCTTTGCATTTTTCTTAATGTGCTCTGCTGCTAAACAAAAGGTTGGAGTTCTGAGTGCCCCAGAGGTGTCTTGGAAGAAATGCCTGGCAATCTACTTCTGAATAATCAGCCATATGGAACATAATTCGACTCTGACACACATGGGATTGCCATGAGTAGCAATTGGTTTAAATTGTGTCCCTCAAACTATGTGCTGAAATTCTAACCCCTGTATCTGTAAATATGACCCTCCTTGGAAATAGGGTTTCCTTATTCTGTTAATGAGGTTGTACTCAAGTAAAGTGGATCCTAAACCTAATCACTTTTGAGTTATCAAAAGAGCAGAACAGACACAAAGACATAGGAGGGAAGAAGAAGATATATGATAGATGCACAAGGAAGCGTGGGAAGGCTAAGGATTGCTGGCAGCTACTAGAAGCTGAAACAGGTAAGAAAGAAGCTCTTCCTAGAGCCATGTTCTGAATTTGAATTTCTAGCTTTCTGAACTGTGAGAAAAATTTCTGTTCATTAAAGCCAACTAGTGGTGTTCATGTTATGACAGCCCTAGATAACAAAGACAGATCATTCTAGCATCACCCCAAGGACTATGCACATGAACTATGTGATGTTGATAGAATATAACCTAAAATGGAATTACACAACAAATTTACTTGCTTACTTGCTTTAACCATTCTTGGGAGCTCTGGTGCCATAGTGCCTAAGGCATTTGACTGTTAACCAGAAGTCTGGTGGTTCAAACCCAACAGCCACTCCTTGGAAGGAAGGTTGGGCAATCTACTTCCGTAGTGATACCACCTTGGAAACCCAAGGAAGGATCACTGTGAGTTGGATCTGACTCCATGACAGTGAGTTTGGTTTGGTTTGGTTAACCATTCTTATTACTTGCTTGACACAGAAAAGCATTTGAGTTGATGAGTCCTAGTGAAGGACAGGTTCGGGGGAGGGACTAAGGATGTTGGGTCATGAGTAGGAGGAAGACTTACTTTTATTATAAACCTTTTTATATTCTTTGGATGTGTGGTGAGATGAGTTTTTTCATGTGGCCTTTTGCCTTGGTTCTTTGGAAAAAGTATGAGAGATTCCCCACCCCACCCCCCCAGTCCCTGAGGAGTTACCTTTGCCCAAATTTTTTACCCCAGAGAATTTGTTACTTTTGAACAGGTTAATTGATGTTTCCTGGATAAGTTATAAACAAGTTGTAGTTTTGATCCTTTTTGTGATTGGTATACACCTTGCAGGTATTGGTCAATAGAATATGCAAATGAGGTGACTATAGCCTACCATGTGAATGAAGTGTCTCTAGTTCCACTGAGAGGGCCAAAGGAGTTGACAAGAAGTTGTGTAGGTATGCAGCCAACCCCACAGAGGTTTTTCCAGACAGGAAGAAGCAGGAATACAGAAAGCAGAAAGAGGAGAAGCAGAGAGAGAGGAGTCAAAAAACCTCCTAAAAAAAGTTGTAACATGAGTCACGGGTTGTAACACTAATATGGCAACAGATCCAAAAAGAATCCAGCAGCAAAGCTGGTGGAGACAGACTGCAGGGCCAAGAGGAGCCTGCCTTAAGGGGGTTGAGAAGAGGCTTATCCTTACATGGCTGAGAGGAGGCCTGCATGGCCAAAAGGACCTGAGAAAACTGTTCTGTACTGAAAAAGGGAGACTGCCTATATACTTCCTGATTCTGATCCTGATCCTCTTGATTTTGATCCCAAGTTGTACCCTGTTACTTAATAAACCATTTAAGTGTTTAAGTAAGTATGATCTGTGAATTTAAGGTGGCCATTACAATGGATTATCAAACCCAGCAGAGAAGTAGAGAGTGCCGTGGGAGGGATGGTTGGTGTCAGAACTGGTAAAAAGTTTTCAAAGGGGAGGTATGACCTCCACCTCATCAAAGTCAACTTGGGGCTGATGCTGGACATTATCCCCCTGAAGTTAGATTCTGATGCTATCACTCAAAAAAATAAAATCAAACTCACTTCTATCAAGTCGATTCCAACACATAGTGACCATCTTTGGGTTTCCAAGGTGGTAAATCTTTACAGAAGTAGATGGCCCAGTCTTCCTTCTGGGGAATGGGTTTGAACCACCAACCTTCTGGTTAGCAGTCAAATGCCTTAGGCACTATGCCACCAGAGCTCTACTACTACTGCTTAAATTTTACAGGATGGGTTAGCATGTATATTATTTAGTTTAAAAACTGATGTTAAAAAATATTTTTCTGGCCTAGAGTTTGTAGAATATTTTTACCATGTTCAGCTGAATTCTCAATCTACCATATCCACCATCTTAAAACTCTTCAAACATTTAGCTTGACTTATAAAGCGACATTACTTAGAGTTATCAATGAATCAGAAATTTTTAGAAAGAGGGATGATGAGAGATGTTAGTGAAAACTGAAATACTTCCATTCATTTCCAAAAGTTTTATATTTAATTTTTTTTCAGTAGAAGTTTTTACAAAACTCTCCCTAGGAGATCCCCAAGTTCCTTGATACTGTACTCTTCTGTGGTTTTCCAGATAGGAAAACACTGGTCAAGGCCAGACACAATCATTATTATGCTGTAAAGCTTTTAAGAAAATACAGAAAAATATCTTTGTAACCTAGGAGTAGACAACAGTTTCTTAGGTCCCAGAAAGTAATACTGTGAATGGAAAATATGATAAATTGAACTTCATCACATTTAAATACTTCTGCTCATCAAATAACAGCATTGAGAAAATAAATATGCAACTCTCAAACTGAGAGGAATATTTGTAGAACATATAACTGACAAAGGACTCCTATCCAGAATTTATAAGAAACTTATAAAACTTACAAAAAAATGATTAAATAATGGACAAAAATTAAAAAAAAAAAAAACCTGTCCGAAGAAAGATATATATGTGCATGTATATGTGATAAAAACCAAACCAAACTCACGGCCATCAAGTAGAACCCGACTCATAGCGATCCCTCCTTGGGTTTCCGAGGCAGTATCACTACGGAAGTAGATTTCCCAACCTTCTTTCTGAGGAGTGTCTGGTGGGTTTGAACCGTCTGCCTTCTGGTTAGCAGTCAAATGCCTTAGGTACTACACTACCAGAACTCCTTGTGTATGTGATACATGCACATATATACATATGGAAAGATAGATATGTGATATATATGTGTGTATGTATATAGATGTGTATACCAAACTCACTGCTATCAAGTCGATTCTGACACACTGTGACCATCTTTGGGTTTTCAAGGTGGTATATGTATATAACATTGAATACTTTATATAATCTTTGGTATATGTATACCAAAACCAGTTGCCATCAAGTTGACATTGACTCAGGGTGACCCAAATGTGACAGAGTAGAACTGTACTCTGCAGTGTTTTCAATGATAATTTTTTTTTTTCCTGGAAGTAGACTGCCGGGTCTTTCTTCCAGGATACCTCTGGGTAGATCTGAACCTACAACATTTCAGTTAGCAGCCAAAAGCATTAACGATATGCATCACTCCGGGACTCCAAACACTCACTAAAATTGCTAAAGCTAAAAACACTGACAGTACCAAGATGATGAGCAACGAGAACTCTCAGGCATAGCTGGCAGAAATGGAAAATAAAATAAACACTTTGGAAAAATATTTGGTAGTTTCTTATAAAATTAAATGTGCACTCCCCCTTTGATTTAGCAGTCCCACTCCTAGGGATTTATCTAAGAGAAATACAAACATGTACTCCAAGGGTCTGGTACAAAAATATTCATAATAGCTTTTTTCACAATAGCCTAATTTTTCACAATAGCCTAAAACCAGAGCCATATCAAATGTTCATCAACAAGAAAATGGATAAACAAATCGATAAGCACATCTGTATAATGAACTACTACTCAGGATCTAAGAGAAAGGATCTATAGATACATGTAATGATATGAATGAATCTCACAGACATTATGTTAAACTGAAAGAGAACATACTATATAGTTGCATTTATACAGTGCTCTACCAGTGCTTGTGAGTGGATTCCAGCTCATGGACACCACATGTGTATCAGAGTAGAACTTTGCTTCATAGGGTTTTCAATGGCTGATTTTTCAGCAGTAAGTTGGTGAGACGTTTCTTCTAAGGTGCCTATGGGTAGACTTCAACCCCCAACTATTTGGCTAGCAGCCAAGTCTGTGGATTATTTGCCCCACCTTGGGAACACATAAGACGGTTGAGAACAGGCAAAATGGTGACAGACAGTGGGAGTGACAGTGGGGAAGAGACACTGCAAAATTTCTAGGGAAATGGAAATATTCCATATCATAATAGGGGTGTGAGTTACACCAGTACATCTATGTGTCAAAGGTACAGCAAAGGTGTGTTTCACATTTCAGATTTGTGTCTATACACTTCACATTAGTAATATAAAAAACAATCGAGTGGGGAGAATGAAAGTGATGGTGTTGTTTTTATGTGCCGTCGAGTCGGACCCGACTCATAGCGACTCCTCCTTGGGTTTCCGAGGCAGTATCACTACAGAAGTAGATTGCCCAACC